TATATATATATATATATATATATATATATATATTTATTTATTTATTTATATTATCCAGAGAATACTTGCCCTACATGGTTCTGTATTTTTAGGCAATTTCCTTCTCATACTTCCTCATTGTTGCATAATTTTATCATGGATCCAAGAGTTACTGAGCAGAAAAGGTTTATCTGAAAAGTGTAGAGCATTGGTCTCAATTAGGAAAATTACTCTGTGAACATGCAAATGGTGTTGATTTAGCTTTATTTTCTCGCTTAGCAGCTAAAAAATTCCTATTGGACTCGAAACTTTGCAGAGAATAACATGGGTTCTACATCACAACTGACCTAGATGTTCCATTGAAAACGAAGCCTTGAGAATTTTGTTGAAATTAGCATGAGCGTATGCAAATACATCGGTTTATTTCTTCATATGGGTTCTCCGAGCTTTTTCTGGGCCATTGATTGCACTGGATGACTTGCTTTTTGTTACTTGAGACTCCATGGCAATGGTAGAGGTCTTGGGGTCTGTTTCGACCTCTCTCACGCAAATGGGCCTTCTGTGGGCCATGGATGGCAAGGACATAGAATGAAGGGAAACCAGCTTACTGTGGGCCATGGATGGCAAGGACATAGAATGAAGGGAAACCTTTACAGCTGACGCCACTGACATATAAAACATCTATGACTGCTATTCATAGCTGCTAATCTAAACGGGCAATTGGGATAGCTTCAATCTTAACGTGATGTCTAATACTGTTTCATTTTTAAATTTTTATATAAATAATCTCAACATGAAATTTGGGACATGCCCTCCTCTCCTTACATAGGCTGACATAACAGAGAATAAAAAATATTACCAATAAATTAAAATGACCAAAATTCCATGCAAGTTTCAGGGATAATTTTTCTTCTTCTTATTTTTATTAGATGTGTCCCTAGGAGAAGTGTAAAACTAATGCCAATAGCAATACGTACTGTCAATATTTTGGGGAAAAAGAGTTATGGGCTTATGGTTTCTCCCCTTCTCATTTCTACCTTATATGCTTGTTTGTTTTTTATCACAAAGAGAAATCAAACACCCTCACCATGTTTGCGCTTATTTTGAATTAGGGTTTTGATTAGAGAACTCACCATGATCGGAGTAGGAAAAGTCAAACAATACACAAATGTTTTGGATAAGCCCTTGAGCAAAGGAAAACAAGAGGTAATCTAACCATTATTCATTTGTTTATGCAATTCTATGGTACTTTTGGATATATATTGATCCATTAAAGTGATCTGTTGCAGGTTAGTTTGAGTGCATTTGCCTTCTTGTTTTCTGAGCTTGTCCAATATAACCAGACTCAAGTTGATAACATTGCTGAGCTAGAGAGAAGGTGGTTGCATCGTTTAATTTTCTCTTTCTGTAGGACTCAGAAGCTGTTTAAATATCCTTTATATGTTCGTATATTTGTTTGCATTTAAATTTTAGGGCATTTTGTGTTCAAAATGGCTGGATTTTTTTTTTCTCCTGTAAATTTGAGTTTGATTCAAAATGTAAAAGATCATTGGTGAATTTATTGTGAAAGGCATTTTTTGCCGGTGCAAATTTAGAATGAATTGTTGTTTCCTTTACCAAGTTTCAAGAATTCCGAGCTGTCTCTCATTTCCTTTTGCCCTAGGTAAAATTGTGTTACCAATAGTTTTGTAGTATTCAAAGATTGGCTGTTTAATTCTCATCGACAGAAAGTAATTTCAATGAACTGGAATTATTTTGTTCTTTCAAAGTACAATTAAAATTTTTCATCCAAACTTAATTATGAACTAGGAATTGTCTGGTGGTTTCATATCTGCAATTCCCATTGTCCTAGAAGCTTCTGGCAAGGAAGGCTTGTGATGGCATCCTCAAACTACAGTGAGCGAGAAAAATAGAAGCAATAGAAAGCGAGCTAGATTAGAGTTATAATGTGTTTGGTGGTTTCATATCTGCAATTCCCATTGTCCTAGAAGCTTCTGGCAAGGAAGGCTTGCGATGGCATCCTGAAGCTACAGTGAGCGAGAGAAATAGAAGCAACAGTAAGCGAGCTAGATTAGAGTTATATTGTGTGGGAGAGATTAGGGCCTCTCTTCCTCTTCACTACAGTTACCTCACAATATTTCTAAATAGTAACCCTCAAAGTCAACCACCCAAGGACAAATTATAACTAGCATCCCACCAACAATGACATATACATGAAATGGTGGGAGGATGAGTTTGATGAACTTGATGATGAAGTGTCCCTTTAGGAGAGTGGTTTGAGCTCTATGATGCATCTACTGATACTCATGATGCGCAATTTATCTTTTCTTTGATTGAAAAGGGTATTGAGGAAGTTAGGCAGGAGCATGTAATTCAAGTATTAAACAATGCTGCGGTCAACCTTTTTGTTGCTAATTTGTGCGCCAAAAGCAGCCTAGTATCTTTTGGAAATCATGTGCAGCGCACTGCATGGATCTCATGCATGGGGCTATTGGCAATGTCAAGCTTGTGGACGTAAATAAGGCTCAAGCCTTGACAATGTGTATTTGGTTTTTTTTTTTTTGAAGTTGTTAACTGTTGACAATGTTTATTTGTTGTCACACCCTTACCCCATGGTGCACAATTTCATTGGGAAGAGGGATCTAGTGAGACTTGGAGTCATGAGATTTGTCACTTCTTTCCTAAGTCTACAAAGCATGAATGATAAAGAGAAACCTAGTAAGATATAATTTTGTAGGAGATTTTTTGGAGTAGGGTGGTGTCCTCTTTTAAATTATTTTAATTGTTGGTCAAAGTCTTGTGCTTGGTTGATAGTGAGGTGCACCCATTATGGGCTTTATATATGCTGCATTGGATTGAGATAGGAGAGATAGCTGGGGCATTGGGCAATGATAAGGACAATCATGGTCCAATCTGGAAGAGCATAGAAAGAAAAGGGGATGGGAAGTCTCATCGACCATTGCTATGAAGCTGGTTGTTATTTGAACCGAAAGTTCTTTCACGTTGATTTGCTCTTACATGATCCTGTTAAAGGTGGAAGCCTCCGCGGAGTTGAAAGACTTTAGGTCCATTAATCTGCTAAATAGCTCTTACAAGATCCTGCCAAAGATGCTGGCCACTCAACTCAGGCAGGTTCTAAAGACTATCATTTCGCCAAACCAAGGTGCATGAGTCATGGATCATCAAATATTGGAGGGAGCACTAGTAGTGAATGGATGCGTCCTACTGGGCACCATCGAAAATACCTATGTTGGTCTACATTGGAACATTATAGATGGAGTTAAAAGCCCAACATGGTTTTGAAGCAAGTGGAGATGTTGGATCTCATGGTGTGTGTCATCAGCCCTCTTGTCAATGCTCATTAATGGCTGTCCTCACAGGTTTCCTCTGGCTTCGAGAGGTCTTCACCAAAGAGATCCATTATTCCCATTTTTCGCTATTATGGCGGAAGTATTCAGCAGGGGTCCATTTTGAACCTATAATGTCATAAATTGGTCCAAGGGTTTAAAAGGACTAGAAGAGGATCTTCCATCTCTCACCTCTAATATGTAGATGACACCCTGGTGATCTGCAGTTCCTCCCCTCAGCCAGTTACAACCTTGGTTGTTCTCAAGGTTTTTTAAATTCTCTATGGGCTTAAAGATAAACATGTTCGAAACAAAACTAATGGGCGTGGGAGTGAACCGTGGCTTATTATGAGACCTTGCTAGGAGACTAGGTGTGGGATGGATTTGTTGCGAGCCAAATACTTGAGATTGCTCTATACCTCGCCAAGCCAGGAAGGCACTAATGGGATGGTGTGTTGGAAAGGACAGAATTTAGTTGTCATCTTAAACTTGCGGCTTTCTCTCGATTGGCGCTAGGTTTACTTTGCGAAAAGTTACCCTGTCAAAGATCCCCCTTAATTATCGTTCTCTCTTCAGGATGCCGACAGCTGTGGTCAATAGGTCAGAATGCATAAAAAAAGATTTTCTCTGGTCGGGTGATGTTGGGGGTTACAATCCCATCTTTCAAACTAGGACTGTCTGCAGGCCCAAATGAGTAGAAAGCTGGGCCATTAGTAAATTAAAAAGCATGTACTCCTTGTTGGGTAAATGGTGGTGACACTTTACCCCATGGGACAAACACTTGTGGCAAGAGGTTGTCAAATACAAGAAAGGTCTCAATGGCTCTGGGTGGTTGCCGAAGTAATCACCCAACACTTGGGCAGTTGGGCTTCTTCTGTTTGTAAAGGGATTATTTCTTCGCGCAGACAAGTGTGAGGTTCTTGGTTAAAACCTGGGACAAAGTTAGAATTATGGTTAGATAATGACTGGGCAATCTTTCTACACTGTTCTTGAATCTATTTAACCTAAGGGAAGATATCATATGAGCCCATGTACCCATGGATGTACCAGTTTTGTATGAACTTTAAGTCTATCTCTCCATCCCATTCGGTTTTCCTCTGGCTTGTTCCTTGGGTGTTTTTCCATCCTCGCCTCATTGTGGATATTTGGCTGGATGAAGCTTGAGGATATTTGAAAGTCGGGAGTCTCATTTAGGGGCTATCAAAAATAGGATCAATGCTATAGTCATCGTTTGGGTTACTGACCCAGAGGAGTTCAAAGTCGTCCTTATTGACGGACTTCATTCTAAGCTATTGAACCATCTCATGGGCCGCTTGATGCCTGTTCCTAGGTTCCATTTGTGGCCAACATTTGAGCTAGGCACCAGCAAACTCAATTTTGATGCCAGTTTGTTGGATAAGCTGGGACCACGGCAGTTGGGGGCATTTTTTGCAATTTGTTCAGCCTTCTCATTGCTCTCCTTTAAGGGGCCCATCAACTGTGACCTCGCCCAAGGCAAGGCCTCTGCTTGAAGGCCTTAAATTTTTTATTGAAGCTGGGGGTCTTCCCTGAATGTAGAAGGGGACTCAAATATTACCCGCATTGGGTGGGTAGAGCTGTGTCCTTGGAGATGGTATTCAATCAAACCACCGAGATTTTTTAGAACCAGTACTATAGGACTCGCTCAGGTCCAAGCGAGGCTGAGTTACCCAAGTTGTGTGTACAACTTGGGTTATGGAATTTTTTTTCAAAAAATATTGAAAAAAATGTAAAAAATATGGGAATCTATAATTTTTTTGTGTATGATCTGGATGTTTTGGCAAAGATTTGTGAATGTTGTTTGGCTTATACTTTCCTTTTTTTTTAGTTTTTTGAAATGTCCCCATCTATACATTTTTTAAATCTATTTTTTTGTACTTTTTTAATTATAGTTGGACTTTTTAAGGTTGATTTTGGTTTTATTTTACTTTTAATACCTTTATTTTTTTCCGTATTTTCTATGCTTTGTTTTTAAGTTTTTTATGGCTTTTTGGCCTTGTGTAGTACTCAGCCAAGTCCACTCAGACTCGGGCTATGAGCTTATAAACACGGTTTAGAACTATAAAAATTTCATCAGGTATATATGCAGATGTCCAAGGAAGGTGGGTATGGTGCACAATTTGTAATTAACCTTCCCCATTATTGCTGGGGGTGTGCTTTCCTTATTTATGCTTTTTTGTACAAAACATTATGCTCTTATGTCCACAATTTGATTCACCTTTGTAACCTGCATTTCATAAATCTTCTATTGTGAATATGTATAGTCAATTATCTCCAAGGAAAAAAAAAGATGGAACACCTTGTTGGTGTTGAGCAGGTTAGAAGACGCAGGATATGGTGTTGGTGTCCGAGTCCTAGAACTTCTTTGCCATAGAGATAAGGTATTTCTCTTCAGTTATCTGCACCCTTTACTATTTGAATAGAAAATATTCTCGGAACAACAAAAGCAATCAGTGTGTTATAATGTTAATAATCTTTCTGCATTTGGAAGTACTATCTAGAACCTGACTATCGCAAGTAACGAAGGAGCTTAGAAGCATGTGTTTATTGATTTGTTTTGTTATAATTTCATAGGGAAACAGGAGGGAGACGCGCTTGCTGGGAATTTTGTCATTTGTACACAGTACAGTGTGGAAAGTGTTATTTGGAAAGGTAAATCTAATTTAATCTTCCTCTTTTGCATAACTGCCTTGGTCATAAGTGCACTATTTATGTTCCATGATCAACAGCTCCATGAAACATTAATTTTGTTAATATTGATCAGAGGATATGGTTTAATTATTCCCTAGTTTTATGAATTAGTTAAAATACATGGTGCATTTAACAATTCGTGGGTTGATTTATCAGTCATGGTATGCATGACTGTTGTCACAATTGACTCAAATTGAGATCATTGTGAATGATGAAGTTGATATTTTGTGCGTCAGTAATAGATTTTTATCAGCTTTGAAGTCTGAAAGTGTTTCAAGAACAAAACAGATGTTCTCTAGAAATTAGTCACTCTCTTGAATTGTACATATGAGACTGTCATTTGTTCTATTTCGATGGTTTCATTTCTATGCCTTATATAATTTTGTTCATTGTTGTTCAATGATCTGGACAAAATTGGTTATATTGGTTGTGAATAACCAATCTTGAACATTAAGGGGCATTATTTAGCATCAACTTATGCCATTATGTGCTGCATCATTTTATATGGTGTTTATACTATTAAGCAACATCAATATGAAATTAGATGGACATTGTGCCTTATTTCTTTTGGAGATTACTTGTTGAAGAAGATTAGGTGGTTTATTGGTAATAGCTCAAAGCCGTAGGCCTCTGCCAGCATCTTTAGATCTGAGTCTTGTTCTTGTCCATCATGACTCATGCAAGTTTTGGTGGTCAAACTCGAATCTATCACATTAATTTTGTGCCTACTGCCAAGGGTTTTCACTGTGTATGAGGTATTGATTTCATGGCGACCTTTATTCCTTTAACTACGGTACTATTTGTACCAGTTTGTTGTAACTCTTAAGCACATTCGTGCAAATTCTTGTTCACTAGTTCTATGTTCATAATTTTTCCCGGTGACCTAAACGAAGTATTTCATATACCATAGCTTAAAGTTTTTTGAGATTTACTCAACTTTCTTAGTTTGTGTGCTCTAAAAGGTCATCTATGGTATTAATTAGGACCTAGATGCTTCTTTGATTGGTTTCATATATTTATCTAATGCCATGGCTCCTTATGTTATTCAAGAAAATTCAAGGACATTCTGGCACTTTTACTATGTTGCTAATATGATCTTTGCATTTTTTTTTTATTCTATTAGTGATGATTTTTAATGTAGCATTCTTTTTGTACAAGTATTCCTTTTTCTATAACCCGTTTCCTCTTCATGTACATTGCATCCATAGACCCCTCTCTTTGGTCCACCTTTACACCTTCCTTTACACAGTACCATTTCACAGGAATTGATCTTTGTGTGTCTTTATATGTTGCTACTTAGTAAGCATGCATTGTAGAGTACATTGGAACTCAAAGATCACGCGGTCTTAATACTATGTTGTCATGGGTGTTGGAAAAGAAAGGAGCCTCCATACACTACATTGACTTGGTGAGAGATATGTACGAGGGAGTGCCAACTAGTGTACGAGCAACTAGTGGAGAGACGAGTGAGTTTTTAGTGGTGATAGGTCTACACCAGGGAT